AGGAAAAAAAAGAAATAAAAAGGGAATAATGTGGCTGGCAATAATACGTCGAAGTCTTAAGAATGACGTTAACCTCTTCGTTTCATAACTTTTCTATTAATATTATGTCGAGTAGCTTTACTGAACGACGTACTATTGGTGTTCTAAAAGAATAAAAAAACAAAAAGAGTGCAATGGTATATTCAATGTAATGATGTAACATTAAAAAAAATTCAATTACATTCATTAAAAAGTGATTAATCAAAATTAACAATTCAATCACCATTCAACTACTGTTATGCCAAAAAGAGTAATTTTATTAATTATTTAAAAAAAGATGATTGATTACAAACCAAGCCAAAACAAAAGATGGCTTAGACGCAACTGATTACAAAATAAATAAAAACAACGAAAAAATCCATATTCTTCTGTTGCAGAAAATGATTGTTTGATCACTTTCTGGTGTTTCACCATCACCTTCCTTTTCCAAATTTTGTTCGGTTGAATTTTTTCAAATCCTTAGAGTCTTTTGTCAATGACTGTGTCAAATTTCATTTACTTGAGCCCCAAAGGAATCTTTTTAGCGATTCTGACGACCAAGATTATACAACCAGCAAAACAAAAGTGGCTTAGAAGCCAACGATTACAAAAATTTAAAATCAAAACAACAAAAAAATTCCATATTTCTTTCTAGTCGCCAAATCAACTTTTCAATTTTACTTGAGCCCAAAGGATCTTTTTGAGCGATGTCTGGACCATTACCAATCTATTTTCAACCGCATAAACCTCTAGGCCCACTTCATCTTCTTCAGTTTTTGTTGACTCTGTTTGTTTGCACTCAAAGAAGCAAAAAATTATTGGGATAGACTGGCTGATTGATCATCATTTTTTCTCTTGGTGAATCCAATAAGTCCTTGATGACCAATCCAAATTTGAAAGAGAAAGCCTTCTTTGCTAATTGGTTGATAAACGACAATCCCAATCCAAACCTCTTTGATCAGCTTCATATCAACCCCCTCGACTTTGTTACAAATTGTTTCATCACTCATCTTTAAGTTGGAAGTAGAAACAGCTCACAGTTTCAAATTGAATATTTGTGAGGAAAACCCACGATTTAATCCTCCTTAGGACTAAAAAAAGCTTTTTCTCCAATGTCTTAATCACTAATCCAACATATAGGGATTAGCATCCTTGCATCCGGAATTCCGGGGGGGGAGGGAGGAAAACCTTCCATTTTTCTTCTGGGATGATGAAAAGAAGCCATTTTCTGATCAGATTCTGGAAACGTCTTACATTTCTTCGGTTTGTAACCTTCAGTTTAGAAAACAACTTGACGTGCGTTTTTTTCAAAACTCTAGTATTATCAAGTTGGCATCAATTCTTATTATCAGTTTCAGGCCCAACTAAAAAATTTTCAATCTTATATATCCCAATAAAATAATTTCACCAACGATGAATTTATGAAGGGTTCGACGTTTTATTATGCGGTTGAAGTTGAACTTTCACTAGTGGAAAAATGACATTTTATAACGTACAAAAATGACTTTTTATAACGTAGTTACTGAGGACATAGTTCTGGGCGATATAATAAGTCTGCACATTTTATAACGTAGCATAAATTTACGTTATAATATGTTGAACATATTACATCGTAGTTTTTGAAGTCCGTCATAATATGCGCAATTTATTATGACAAAATTTTCATTTGTTGCGTTATAAAAGGTGGGAGGTATAATGGACGTAGAAAGTTTGTACGTTACAATATATGATCTATTATTACGTATATATTTTTGTACGTTATAATATGTTATCAACTTATCATAACGTACATTGTTTAGTACGTCATAATATGTTTTTTTTTTTTGAAAAAAAAATATGATTATTTACATTGACAATCATTTAAAATTATAAAATAATACATTCAAATAATTTATAATCAAATTATAAACTTCAAATAACACAAATTTAATGCTACTAACAAAAATAGAATTCATTTCAAACATTAAATCATCTAATATTTAATACCATTTATAACATCGAAACTATATAATTGCAATCCAAATATTACATAATGTACATCATTATTGAATTGTAGCCAAAATTTCTAACTTAACACTTCCTTTAAAATAAAAGATCTACAAATAAAAATAATAGAATTAAAATTGTAATGAAACACATTATGAAAATACATTTAAACCAGCAACTGATACAACATCTTGTAATATGAAGAGTCTCTTACTTAAATTTGAAATAGGAACACAACAAAAAAAGGTCAACAACCAGCCACCTGCAAAACAAATGTAAAATTAAAATAAAATTAATTGATATAAATAGTAAAAGTTATGAGAGTTAAAGTTCCATTTTTTTTCCAATAACTAACATTTTTTTTTGTTTTTTTTATTTTGTTGTTAAGTTTCACATTTAATTCAACTTATTCTTCATGTCATTCCTTTTGCAAAACATCTTCTTATACATAATGCTCAGGGTTTACTTTATCTATCATGAAATTTGAAAGGGGTGGTTTAATGAATTCAAAATTTGAAAAATAATACGTCTATGAAATCCGGGGATATGATGGGGAATGAAATAGGTCAACTATCTAATCAGAATCAAAAAAATATCACAAATTGAAGATATAAAAATGAATGTGACAAGGAGAATTAAAATACATTGTTACATGACAAAAAACCAGACGTTTTAAGGCAATAGAAAGAGGAAAGGCCAACTAATATATGTTAAAGGTAGGTAGTGAGATCGGCCCAACTGCACGATAGAATCTTGTCATAATTAATTGCTTCTCAATTTCCCAAATAATAGATAAAGATTCAAACATCTGGTGGGGACATTGTATATATCTAAACCTTGAGAGGAGAAAAAAACGAAAAACAAAAAAAAAAAAAGTACTTGAGATTATTTCCTCTTTTAGCTAATTTCATTTCATTTATAGGAAACACCCTTTACATAAAAAGAAATATACAAAAAAAAAATTAATGATCAGCCTACACATAGACCTAAGATAGTTAATACAATGCATAATAATCTAAACTATTAAACTAGGTTAACACAATTTGTGTCAAACTGACCATAAAAAACAAAGTAAACTGGATATTTTCCTTGTAAATAAGGACTAAGAGAAAATTAAAAACCAGTTCCCAAAAAAATAATCATTAATTTTTTCAGATTACTCTTTAAGGAAAAGAAATTAGCAAATAGAAAGAAATGTGTTACCATTCTCAAAAAGAAAAAACAAAACAGACACTATTAACCATATTATCATTAAAAACTATTTTAAAAACAAAACTAATTTAAAAACAAAAGTTGTAAAAAAAATATCTTTGCAAAAATTGGGAGATAAAAAAAAAGTCTTGGGAAAAAAGGAAAAAAAAAAAAAAAAAAAAAAAAAAAAATTGTTATATAGAAGGAAAAAAAACACATTGAAGTGAAGGTAAAATTCATCATAGCTATTTTCAAAATAACCATTCTATACATACCCTCAACGTCAAGGCCAGAGGAGAATAAGTAGAATCAAACTGCATTTGAATAGCAGCTGTGTGCTTCACAAGTCCATTTTGAAAAGCCTTGCAAAAGTACTCAGTTGAAAGGGTGCAGGTTTTCTAACTCGAATCTTTTCTCATGCCTCAAGACGATGAAGGTGGGTTGTTCAGGGTAGTCTGTAGTTGATGCTCTGTGCCAAAGCCTGCAGCCTAGGCAATTGACAAAAAAATGAGCCATTTTAGCATGTTTATAAAAAAACAATTGGATTGGGGGAAATCAAAGAAATAACAATTGAAGACTAAAAAAATTGGCACCCAGATTTCTGAAACACATTTCAGTTTCAAGAAACCTTGGTTAAAGGTCTCCAAGGTTTCCACAATTAGGAAAATGCGGTCCTTAATAAGGCCAAAAAATCCTACAAAAAAGAATCCTATACCCATGCTTATGTACAATGCTTTCATATCCTTTTCTGTTCCTTGCTTTCTGCCTTTGCTGTTGAATAGTCTCCAGAACAACTTTTGGAGTTGTTTCACCACCCAAAAAGATCAATAATTTCCTTAAAAAACTAGAGGTCTTCAAAGGTTCTCCCAATAAAAACCAAAACTAATTAGGCAGGACAAAACCAAAATTGAAAGAATCAAAGGTTACTCCTCCACTCTTTTAATAGACACCAAAGCAACAAATTCATGTATCCAAAGAAGTGGTTACTCATGATTTTGTACAATAAACAAAGAACACGATCTATGTTTCCTTAACCTACTACGTACCACGGTTTTACTCCAACACAAACCTAAAATATCGGAGGGTCTTGTCTTTAAGTTTCTGGTTTTTCTTCGAAAAAGGATCATCAGAGGCAAAAATATCATTCACAGGGGCTAACATGTTCAGGTTCCTCACAAAATCAAAAAAAAAAAAAAAAAATTGAAAAAGCGTCCCAACACAGACAAACAAAACCCTACAAAACCCCCCACAATTTTTTGCCAACAACATCAAACCCTTTAAAAAAACCCCAAAATTAAATGCCACTGAAAATAATCAAAACTTTCTCAAATGAAGAACGCCACACCACAGCAATTGAAGGGAACCAAAAAAAAATTGAAGGGGACACGTTACCTGCACGCACTTCCAAAAAAACCAACCTCACACAGAGAAAAATAGAAAAAAAAAATTCGCGGATATAATCCACCAAGATGGAACCGGTACTAAGGTTTTTGGGACCTACCCAAGGATGCCAAAATCGAATCTACAACAACGGACGATTACCTTGTTTTAAAACCAAAAAAAACAACCAAGTTAGGGGACCAAAGACAGACAAAACCAAAAAAGGGAAAATCATCAATTAAAAAATGTAAAACCACAGTGCACATAATACCTTCGTACTGCTTCAACTGGCGAGTGCAAAAACCAACCACAATATGCCCCTTCCTGGCCCTAAGTTTAAAAGACGGAGAAATGCGAGTTGAGGAGTACCGAGAAAAATGCGATGTTCCGAAAAGTATATCATAAGTTGTTTCAGGCTTGAGGAAGTATGTCGTATATCTGTTACCTCGCCTTTATCGAAATCCATGTTCCTTCATCTTAGTTTTTAGAGAAATAGTAATTGTGAATTTTTCTTCAGAAGGTTGCAGAGGGAAATGATTTATTCAAAATAAGCCAATCTAAATATGTAGTTACATTTAGACTAGAATTCAATACGATAGCTGAATTTTAATTGCACATTAGAGAGTTGAAGTTCAAAATTTATGACAGAAAGCTATTTCTTCAGGTTGATATGACTGCACTCAATCATATGACTGATGAGGATCTGAAGGCCATGGGTATACCAATGGTACGTATCATCGAGGAGCGTGGATTCCTCACTCCCACAAATTCCTAAATTCTTATTTATCTCAAGTCAACCCTTCTCTAGTTTTGATGTAGCCATTATTAACATTTTCTGCTTTTCTTAATTCGATTCTGATATGCTTTGTTGATTTCAGGGACCAAGAAAGAAGATACTTTTAGCCTTGGAGGCAAAAGGCTGACATCTTGGTCGTGTATTTGTATACCCTAGTTATAACTTACTGCACATTAAAAGGCTTATAATTATGTTTATACTTTGAACCTGGTCAAGCTTGCTTGTAATTTTTTAGAAATCCTTTTGGTGCTTCTATTGCCATTTCAATCTTCTTTCTTCCCATGCGTTGCTGAAAGTGGCCTAAACAAGCTATTGACATTTAAAAGTAGGAAATCATGAAGATTAATTGATAAGAGTTTTTTTGTTTAGCTGGAGGGACCTGGTTTGATGGGTGATGGTGATGGTGGATGCTTTGTAAAATGAAGTTTGTCTGTTTTCCTTTTTTACTTTGAAACCAAACATGCTTTTCCTTTTTAATGTATTCACTTTATGATTTTGAATGTCTATACAATTTGAGTGTTTGCAAATTCATGCGTACTGTGGATCAATTTCAATGCTGACAATGCTAAATAAACTAGCTCAAGTGCCAAATTTCCTGTGCATCCTGTGTAGGCCTGTATAGTCTGCATAACTTACATAAATTTAAGTTGCAAAAAATAATTATATGTTTTTAATATTAAATGAAAATACATATATTTCGTGATGTAATAATAGTGATTTGTAATACTTAGGTATATAGAAATATAAGAATTATTAATTAAATATTCAAATAAATGTGTGAATCTAATCATTATAATTTCAGTAAAAACTATTTATAATCACAACTAAAAAAAATTCAAAATGTATAGTTATTTTTATTATTATTTTGTTTTGGAAAAATGTTTTATTGATTAAATATAAACTATATATTTTCTTCTTTAGAAATAATACATTATACTTGCTAATTCAAACAAAAAAATAAAATTCAAATTTAAAAAAAAAATCACGAACATGAGTTGATATTAAAATATTCATTGTACTACTATCTAGAACTAAGGTTGTCGTATGCAAATGTAAAAGAAAAAATCTAGTTTAGTTCGTTGGCAAAAGGGTTTTCTGACACGTGTTGAATTTTTACTAAACAAAGTTCACGTTTTATCTCATAAATTCTTCCAAAATTTTCATTTAGTTCTAATTCTTAAATAATATACTTTTATTTTAATATTAGCAATAATAATTTATAGCAATTAATGTTATAGAGTATAGATAACGAAACGCATACTTACTATATTTCTTCAACAAATTGAAAAGGATATTGTAACAACGTAAACAAAATTAATGTTTTCACATAATCCGTTTCCAAAAAAAGAAAGAAACATGAAATTCTTATTTTGTTTTGACTTAAATTCAAATTTATTAGTAAAATACATATTTTAACTTATATACATATTTTAGTTATATCTAATAGTTTAAAATAATTAGATTAAAATTAATTTTAATGGCTTAAAACAAATTTACTTAAGTATAAAGAAACATCTCAATGTTTACAAATTCAAAATATTATATATATATATATATATATATATATATATATATATTCATATAATTTGATATTTGAATAGTATTTATAAATAAGTGATCCCATTTAATATTATTTTATAATAAAATAAACTATGAAATTATTCAAATTAATTATATTTGAATTTAATTAATATAAAAATTGCAGTTTAATGATAACATCACTAACGTTTTTAATATTGTTGAAGCATTACTTATTCATATTAAACAAATGCAAGCAATGGTAGGAATAAATGGTGGTTTGACTTAGTGAGAGATGGAAAAGGAAAGTTTCATAGGAAACTAGCATTTATGGTTTCAAATATCGCAAATGGAAAAAGTAACGCTGTAGTTAAAAATGTAACCAAAGTATATAATTTACTTTCAATAGTTACATCTTATCACACGCTGATAGATAAATGTATGTGCAGTACATACACAATAAATGTATTAACAAATAATCAAAACACATCTGTGTATAGAGAAGTATTATACATAACTCCATTTACGTTAACAACACAGAAGAATCTGTGTATGTTAAAAGTAATTAATATTAGAAAACTGAATTTTCCTGGCATTGTCAAAATCATCCTATATATATTTTGCCAAATTCCAATTTACTAACCAATGAACAAAAAACTGTGTATTAGTGACTAAAAATCTTGGTTGGTGTTGAATATACAAGGTAGTTGATCAGTGATATTTTGTAGAATGGGTAATATTGAACTGGTAGAGAAAATTGTAGTTGTTCCTGAGCAACCTACACCACGCAAGAGAATGTTCTTGTCAAATATTGATCTGTCCCTTGTTGTTTACCAAGATTCTGCCTCCTTTTTTGACCCTCCAACTACCCAAATGAGTTTCAGTGAGATTTGTAACAAATTATACAGTGCACTTGGTAAAATGCTTGTGCAGTATGATTTTATGGCTGGCAGACTAGTGCCAAGTTTGGAAGAGACTCACAGATTTGAAATTGACTGCAATGGTGCTGGCATTGTGGTTGCAGCTGCAAGAACTGACAGAAAATTGAGTGAATTTGGGGTGATTTCTACACCTAATCCACAGTTGAGGGAATTAGTTGTTTTTTTACATGAAGGGTGTGACCAAGAAACTGATCTGAAAGAAAAACCCCTTGCATCCTTACAGGTTAAGGCTCCTTTTACTTCTGTCATCCTTACATTCATTCTTTGTTTAAGTTTTTTTATCTGCTTTTACTCTTGATTTCCTTGCATTTTAGTCTCCAAAGTGAAGGTTCATTTTAAGGGATCATTTAGTTGATAAAGATTCAAAATATTAACATCTTACAGGGACCAAAACTATGAGATTAGTGTGGAATAAAATCATCCAATTATGAGTTTCTTGTATTTCCATTCCATTAAATTCATTTTTCCATCTTGATTCTTAAACACAAAGGTAAAAAGGATCAGTTTGTATAAACAACTTATAGTGATAATACTTGAGTATAAATTCTCACTTTAATTGAAGAAGGAATGTAGTTAAACTGTTCTGATATAATAAGTTCTGTTTCCACAGACAATTTATTGAAATAAGTTACAAATAACTTATGAACATACTACAAACTGTATTTTTTTTCATAAATTCTACCATATAACTGCACAAGCATTTATGCCAGAATTGTTAATCTGATGAATAAGCTAATTCAGACATAAAATCTAAATAAATGCAAATGTAAGTCAAGTAGATTATTTGTTGTTTATGACAGCTGACTCAGTTTGGTTGTGGAAGTTTGGCACTTGCTTCTCACTACAATCACTGCACTTTGGACGGTTTTGCAATAAGAGATTTTGAGGTAAACTTAGGGGCATTAACACGTGGTGAGGATCTCATCACAGTACCTAATGCAGATAGAACACTGCTGAGAGCAAGAAATCCTCCAATTGTAAGCCATCCACATTTTGAGTACTCAAAATCTACTGTGACACACAACTTGTTTACTCTCCGAGGCAAAAGTGGTACCAATGTCATGCAGTCCCTGCCAGAAAACCAGATTCGAGTGCTTCATTTGTCGCCACAAAGCATTGCTAGCTTCAAAAAGAAAGCCCTGGAGGAGGACAAAACCTTAAAGAACACAACCACTTTTCAGGTTGTTGCTGCCAAAATATGGAAGGCAAGAAGCATTGCAACAAGGATGTCGGAGGAAAAAGTGTCCACAATGCTGTTTCCAGTGGATGTGAGGAAAAGGGTTGTTCCTGAACTCCCAGATGGGTTTGCAGGGAATGCATTGGTCCCTGGTTTTGCAAGAGCAACTGTGAGGGAGCTGAAGGAGCTAGAAGATTCATGTCACATAAGGAAGGTGCAAGAAGGGCTTGAAAGGTTGAATAATGAGTACATTAAGTCAGGAATAGATTGGTTAGAAGTGAACAAAGGAGCACCTTGTATGGAAGATAGTTTCTCCTTGGTGGCATGGTGGAGATTGGGGTTAGAGGAACAGCTTTTTGCATGGGGTAGACTCAAGTGTGCTACTCCACTACAAGTTAAGCCTGGTTTGGTCATGCTATTGCCAGGGCCACAAGATCAAGGAGGCATTAACATATGCCTTGATTTACCTGAGGATCAAATGAAACACTTTAGTAGGATAATGCTACAAATCTAGATCTTGTTTCACAATTCTGAGTTATAGTACTGTTGTTAATCCCATAATATATCTAAAGATGAACTGCTTGTTACTCCTCTCAGTGATTGCTTAAGGTTTTGGACCATTGTTGAGATGCTTATGCCAGCCAGATTCACCTGGTTTAAGAGATCATTCATAGAGTAAAGTAATTCATATGCTTAAAACAATGTTGTATACATGTTTTTTTTTACTAATATTAGACAAATTCACCCAAAAATTATGAAAATAGACAAGTCAAAAAAGAAATTCACTCAAAAGATATACCATTTCAATTCCAATAGCAGTAGATGATTCAATCTTTTGAAGCATATACATGAGTTAATTAGAGGCACTCCAAGGGAATCTGAGGGTATCGTTTCCTATCAGTACAATAATCATAGGTGGTATACTTATGTTTGATACGTTCATATTGACTTAGTCTTACAGGATCCAAGTGCCAAAACTTCTGCCTATTCCACCAGAAGTTATCAGAAGAACAATTTTTGGCATTTGAGGTTAAAACTTGACAGCCACTGACATCAAAACCTTGGAAATTTGCTTTGAATGGTGCATAAAGCCAATCAGTTTTGGTTTTGCCTCCATTTGTTGCCCAGCTTTCTGCATCCCACAAAGTTGCTTGTATCTGCATTGCCTTTGATGGGTATCCCACCCCAATATTAGTCTTGTTCTTGAATACCCTAATGGGCACGTTATCCACGTAAAATCTGCCAATTCATTTCAGATACATGCATATAAAAAAGTGCTTGTAAGAGCTTCTCAAATTCATCAACTTCAATCTTCTGAAAAGATAGTCCTATTTTTATTAGTTTGTAATCTTACACAATTTGATGTTGGTTCCAAAGAATTCTATAATTGTGAAAATCTGCAGTAGGGTCAAACCAAAGACGAATTCTTTGCTCTCTATTCCCTTGGCCATCTACAAATACATTGGTTTGTAATCTATAAGGCTTCCCTTCTCTGTTGCCCAAGAATTCAAAATCCAACTCATCATGCTTACTTCCTTCTGAACTTAACTGCAATAAATCAAACACATTAAGAACTTTGCAACATAATTCTATATAATTTACATTTCAAACGGATATCACCATTGCTAAATGTCATAGAATTCACAATAGAAACTTTTAGTTATGCAGAATGACTAGAGAAGATATCAAACTATTGTAGGTAAAATGAATGCAAATTTTATCTTAATTGTTGAGTTTCTGATTCTACTTTCTGCAGAGGGTCGTTGTTTACCAAAAGTTAATTTTTTTATTTATCAGAAAAGTGATTTTTAAACAACTTATTAATGAAATATAAGAGTCAA